TACTTCAAACTCTTGTTAATAAAAAACAACTGACTGGGTTGGCAGCTGTCCTATTGAGGGCAAGGAGAAGTCGACCTTGTTACATGTTATGTCTCTAGTGCCTGGCACCTAGTAGACCCTCTACAATAATGAATGAGAAGGAGAGCTGAGGTCCCCTAGCAATTTACACAGATAAACCTCCTGGAGCTCCATGCTACAAACTATTAATGATGTGCTCCTGGAAGATTTCAACATCTCTTCTTAAGTTTTCCCAATTTCTCTCCCTGCCTCCAGCAACTATCTCTGATTCAGAAGGGATTTCAAGAGTCGAGTTCAATACCTCGAAATATACTGATGAAGGGCAATATAGATGAGGCAGTTACTGATGAAAAGCCAAGAAAAAATGTAAAGCTAGGAGAGCTTATCTCAGGCTGAAACCTTAGGTTATGGTTAAGGAAAACTAGATCAAAGTACAGCACACTGCTTTAATCTTACAGATTTCAAACAAAAGGCTAGGAAAATTAGCAAGGAATAGGGGGAATTTAGGTAAGAAAAACTATTCAAACAACTACAGAAGGACACTTCCTGCCCCTCTGATTTTCTGAAACCTCAAGAAATGTTCACAAATCATTGGATGCCTTTGACCAAAAGAAGAGAAGCCCTGACCATGCAGTAATTTGCATTTCGTCTTTTTCTTTTCAAGTTTGCTATATGTGAAGTAGAATATCATAGTGCAGTAGAGACTGCTAGTTTTCTAAATAATATCCATCCCTCCCCCCTTTTTTTTTGACTAACGGAACTCCCTAACTTCAACTGATGCTGTCATGTACAAAACTCAAAGAGTATATTTCTCAGGTTTCTTTCTACTAGGTATGGTCACAGGATTACGTTCTTGCCAGTAACATGTAAGTACGAGTGGCTGGGTGAGACATTTGGGAAAGCATCCACAAAGGGGCCTAATTTCTTTGTCCTCCATTCTTCTTACTTCTTGCTGGAAAAGGTGTAATGGATGGAAATCATATGCTCAGGATGGTGTTGTGAAAATACAGAAAGAGGCTGGGTTCCTGATGTTACCATAAAATGTCACACCAGACCCAAACTGACCATCTTTGGTTTTCTACATGGAAGAAGAACAAAGCTGCTCATTTGTATAGATTCTTATTTTTCTCAGGTCTACATTACTCTCAACTAAAATGCAATTCTTAACTTCCACATACAGGCGAGATGCTGTCACAAAGAGATTTATGAGAAATGAGTTCTGTCTCCTTGCCTACCCCCATGCAGCCTAGGAGACTTCCTAGCGTGGGCTCTAACTTTAGGGTGACCTTAGTGACTGGAGAAAGGGGCATTAAAACATTTATCTGTGTTAACAAATAATGATAAAAGCAGCAAAACTAACCAACTGCCAATTCCCCTGCAAGGTAATTCAATTCCAAAATGGGTGTCCATTTGGAGACATGCTTTATTTCTGGAGACATGATTAGAATTCAAATAGCATCAGTGGAAAGCTACCCCATGTTGGTCTTGGCTACTTTCAAACATATTTAGAAGTGGAAATTAATCCTTTGATATTGATCAACACTGCTAAAGAAGGGACTATAGTTCTTTTGAGACTGATGGGTTTAAATTCAGAGAGCAGAGCCAACATGCATGTGCCTCAATGAGATCATCTGCTAAATCAATTCAGTGTGTAGCAAGTATTAGCTGGGAAAATGGAAAATCAGGCCCTCTGGGTCATATTGGCAGCAGGAGCAATTTTGATGAAAAGAAAATTAAGTTGAGGGGGGAAAATTAGGTGAGTTCAAATTCTAAATGGCAGCAGGAAAAAATTTTAGTATAAGACATTAATTTTTAAAGTAGATCAGAAAAAAAACTTCATTTATTTCTGCTACTACTGACTGAACAGACTTTCTACTCAGCCTATTTGTGAGGTTTCCATTTCTTAATAATTAACAAATTGCCCTTAAGGATTCTAAGTAGATGACTCAGCCTTAGAGAAGCTAGGGCCCATTAAATCAGTTTTTAAAAACCTGCTCTAATAACAGAGATCTGAATCTGAAAGATTATTAAACCTGAGAACGGCAACCATCTCTTTTTCAATATCCCTAAGGAAGCCAAACCAGGTTTACACTGAAATATGACAAACTTAGATTGGACATTTGGAAAAAGTTCCTGAGTGAGCATTTTTAAACAATAAAATGGTCTTTAAGTTTCTGAACAACATATATTTCTGTGACCCAATTCATGGAGGGGACGATTCATATTCAAGATCAGTTCAAGGTTCCTTACAGAGTGCTTGCCCAAAACATGCGCATTCCACCAAGTTTAATCGGCTACCTTTCCTTTCTAGCTCTCAGAGAACAGGAGCTACTCCTGCTGCTCTGGCTCATGAGCATATTCCCACCATGCTCTGGACTTCTCCTCTTACTATGAATTGATAGCTTCATTCTCAGCAGCCTATGCTTTATTTCCAACAAAGCACTTTCTCATATGAAAAAAAAAATTATTACTAGATTCTCATAACCACTGCAACAGATAGCCAAGGATTGCAAAAAATGAAGTATCTAAACTCAAGGACATGGAGTACCGTATACTACCAGCAACTTGGCTTTTTGACATCCAATCCTATGTCCTTTTCATCACTCAGAAGGAGCAGCTAATCCCAATCCTGGATAAAAAAAGACACAACCCTTGTCTCTCTAGGTCTTGAGTGGTGGGGAAACGCCTTGACTTTGTAGTCAAACATATTTGTGTTAAAACTCTGACTCTGCTACATAATTAGCTTCAAGGACTTAGGTGATTTATTTACTCTTTGAATCTCCATTTTCCACATGTATGATATGGCCAGATATTGTTTCTACAGTATCATATAAAATGAGCCAATGAGTATGAAGTAGCTAGCTGAATTAAAACTCTGCTGATCTGTATCTCTTCAATTTCTCACCACCAATCCTTATTGATCCCTCCAACCTCACTTCAACTCGAAGAAAAGCTACCAATGATCCATAGAACACTCCTCTCCCCACACTCTCGTGTACCTCTTTCCTGCATAATGCGATGAACCACCTGAAATGCTAGCAATTCTACTTCAGTCCCAATCATGAAATGAGTTCATCTGCAGGCCACTCTCTTTCTCAGAAGGAATGATATACTTGGGTACCCAGAGCTGTCCAAATCCAGTAGGAAGCAGAGAAGAAGGTACAACTCATATGGCACCTGCTGGAAGACCAGGCTTCCTAACGTGTTTGGCTTACTGATATTGTTGGCTCAAACGACCGGAACTTCTGGACTCTGGACCTTTGCCACCTCGACCTCCCAGATCTGCTTATGCCTGTGAGCTTTTCAGGCTGACCCATCTGCTCTGACCTGCAGTTTCTGCATAGGCATGCAGTCTTGGGATAGGGGCTGTCTGCAGCAGGCTCTGACGGGGTTTCTATACACTGGTGCTATTTCTTCCCTTTTTCTGATAATTCCTCTGCCTCACCACTGATGTCTTATTAAACTCACTCCTGGCTTCTCTTCCTTTTTTTGTGGCATTTGTCAGTTCCCATCAGATCCACTGCTGGTTTTATATAGATGAGCTCTTAACTGACAGCTCTGACATTCATCCCCCCTCTAGGCTCATGTCCTTTAAAAACTGCAAGATCTCTTTTTGGATACTTTCCTAGTATTTAGTCTCTTCCCTTCCAAAACCATCCTTTTTCCAGGGTCTCTATTATCACTGTGCCTATCTTTCTGGTTCCCTAGGCTCATCTTTCCCTCACATGAACGGACTTTGAAAAGGTATTCTTATCTCAGACGTCTTGGCAACCTTAATCTCCGAAGTTTACCATAAAGGCTCATCTAGTCCTTCTCTTGAAAGTCATCTGGGCACTGGTCTGGGGGTGACATTTGAGGATAATCACTATGGAAGAAATGACAACCATGGAACCTTGGAGTTATGCCCAATTCCTACTCACTAGGTTCTAGAATTTGTTGAATATAAATATACCTCTTTATTTAACACACTTCATTTCAAACAAATAAAACTGGTATTACCAAGCATTCACTGAACACTGATTACATGCCAGGTACTGTGTTAACTACTTTAAATGCATTAGTCTTTCAATTTTCATAATGAAAAGACAGTAATATATTTATTACTACTGCTGTTTCAGATAAAAGGAGAATGGGGACCATAGAGTTTAAGTAAGTTGCCTAAGGATGAGCTCAAGGTTAGTAAGAAGTGGTTACGATTAAAAGTTTACATTCTTTTAAATGGAACCCTCAGCAAAACTAATCTCCCAACACAGAATGCCCTTTCACCCTCAGCCCTCCAATCCCATGGCCCTGTCCTCCCTCTGACACTGCTCAGCAGTTCTCTCCTCCCTGAGATATGCTCAGTCTGTTCACACTGGCCAGCCCTTCACTCCCCATGCTGCAACACTGCAGTGGCTGTGAGCCCTTATCCTAGTTCATACCATATTGGTGTTAACACATTTCTCTTCTTTTGACAATGTTTTCCTCATCTTGACCCCTTAATGTTTCAGGAGACTAAGTTCTTGAAAGTTAGGGGCTTTCTTTTCAACACCCCATAACACAAGTATAGTCACCATAAGCAGGGCCTCAGTAGGGGCCAGCTGAGTGGGGCACATGATGTCTCTAATGACCACAGAGTCTCCCAGTCTTTTTCATTGCTCCAGGAAGGTGTGGATGACTCACCGCTTACTGGGGCAGATGGGCCATGGCAGGCTGGCAACATAGAATGAAAACAGCTAACATACACTGAGTGCTTACCATGTCAAGCACTATTTTATGCACCATAGGTATACTAACTCCCTATGTTAGGTACCATGAATCGGATGCAATTAGCACAAAGATTTTTCTCAAGTCTTAGTCAAGAGAAAATAGAGACCACCTCCTTCCTCTCTGTATCTACAGCCTTCTGTGGTCATGTGTTATGCCTGCAGCATTTAGCTACATCCTATATCTGAGCATATCTGCATTTTCTACCTATTTATAAATGTCTGTATTGACTCCTGTTACAGGGCCTGTACGGCAACACAGAGCTCAATAAATCACTGAATTGAATCAAGATCTTGGGAGATCAAAATTCATCATACCTATATAAAAAAAATCTAGACATCATTTTACCACCTTTCAAGCCTTATTTTAAACAATAAAGAAGTCACTTACATTTAAATTAGTGCAGACTATGTTTTCTTGCTTCATGATTTGGGAAAAAATGGATATAGCTTTCGCCACCTGGTTCTAGAAGAAAGAAAAACAAGTTATACTCCAAATCATATGAACATTCCTCTGCTATCATAAAGATTTTTTTTTTTAAGGATTTATTTATTTGACAGAGAGCATAAGCAGAGGGAGCAGCAGAGGGAGAAGGAGGACCCCCGCTGAGCAGGGAGCCCAATGCGGGACTTGATCCCAGGACCCCGGGATCATGATCTGAGCTGAAGGCAGACTTTTAACCAACTGAGGCACCCAGGCGTCCCACATAAAGATCATTTAAGTATAGTATGATATTCCTGTTCATGGTGCCCCCGGGGTTTTGAAGTCCAAAAAGAAAAAGTTTTTTTGGTAATCAAAAATGAACTTTCTAAAGAATGTTTCCTACAGTTGCATATTACTGAATTTTAAAAATAGCTTCCAAAATATTTTATTTTTATTAAAGTAGAGTTGACGCACAATGTTATAGTAGTTTCAGGTGCACAACACAGTGACTCAACAACGCTATACATTGTGCTGTGCTCGCCACAAGCGTAGCTGCCATCTGTCACCATACAGTGCTATTACAATGCCGTCAACTATATTCCCAATGCTGTGCCTTTCATTCGGTGATCTATGCATTCCAAAGCTGAAGATTACTCAATGTTTTAATAACCTGCCTGTGTTCCAGTTTTTAAGATGGAGGCATAAATTTGGCATTTGTCCTTATTCCACTGGAAGACTTAAAAAAAAAAAGATTGAGAAGCAGAAATGCAAACTCCATCTCTGACATCATTAGAAGAAGGTCCAAGCCACAGAAGAGATGGAAGCACTGGCAACAACATAGGAGACGGAGCACAGGGGTAAGATCTGGACAAAGCAGTGTGCAGAGACCACTGCTGCCTATCTTAGCAAGAGCCCACCAAGTAGTTCTCAAATGTTAAGGGCACCCCTGAGGTACAAAACCTGAATTCCGTGTACAGTGATGGTAATGGAATTTAGGACTATGAGAAATCCTCTAGACCCTTCTTGTGGCAAAGGTGAGGCCAATCAAAAATTTAAACAGATAAGCTATATTTGCAGGAAACAGACCGTTGTTACGGCAGTGTCAGAGAATGAGATTTTTCATTGAAAACCGCCTGCGCGCCTTTTCCCATTAGCCAGCGAGGAATAAAGCCTATGCAGACAAAATGCATACATAAAAAAAATTCCTTCTAGTCTGGAGCATGGCAACATGGCTCTGATCTCTCTCTGACATGAATCTTCTGTAAGCAGTTGGTCTAAGAAACTTGCTTTCAATGACGATTACTCAAAAATGTGCCAGCACATGATCTATATAAAGACACTAGGAGGAACAAAAGAGTGAGAAAAGGGATATAAAAATCAGAAAGAAATAAAACCAGAAAAGAACCGGCAGATGAAGAAACCCCAACAGAGAAATATTTCCACGGATACAGAGGACAATAATGAGAAAAACAAACAAGATCAAGTAACTCAGAAGCAGGAAAATAAAAAAATCAGACAGGCTTCAGATTTCTCCACAGCAATATTCTATACTATAAGACAGAAGAGCAATGCATAGAAAAACCTCAAGAAAAACAAGTGTCACTTCAAAATTTTATATCTGGTCAAAATGTAGTTCAAGCCAAAAAACCAGGCAAATAATTTTAAATACCAAGAACTTGGGGAATACTCTTCCTCTGAAGAAGGAAGATACTTTACTAGAAGACACATTTCAATCAACAAAGAGATGACTGGAAAACCAATAGTAAATGAATATTTTTAAATACATAAATATATTTAAATATATGTAAGAATATATATTTAAATACATATAGGACCAAAACAAATGTGGGGAATATGATTACAGAACGGAGCACAAGTGTTATATTCTCAGATAATGAAGACAAACGGAGAAAGAATGTAAGAGAAAGCACACCTATTGCCTTGTCTTTATTACATGGGGTCAGAAAAATAGCATTTAAAGCTGACAAATCAAGCACACTTAAGAGAAAAATGAGTACTATGAAAGGTAGTGTATCAACCAGAATTGGGTGGTGGAGAAGAAGGAAAATGAGGGGAAAAAAGAGGAAATATACTAATTTCAGCATTACTTACATTAGGGAATTAACAAGGTACAGTTAAGGTAATCAGAGGACTAAGCATATTAAATCAAGTTATGGTTTTAAAGTAACCACTAAAGCAAAAACACAAACCAAAACAAAGAAAACCACTACATGCTAGAAGTAATTTTAAAAGTTATAAAAACAAAGCATAACTGAAACCTAAAATTAAACATGTCTATCTAGATGGGTTAAGTTAAAAGAAAGACTAGCAGTGTATCATGAAACAAAGTTCAAATCTATGTAGTGTACAAGATACACAAAAACAAACCAATTCAGAAAGAATGCAAATAAAAGGATAGGAAAAGGTGTATAGGAGGCAAATACAAACCCAATTAAACCAAAGAGGCATAAAGAGATATTAACATTAGGTAAGGTGAAATTTAGAGTGGAAGCATGAAACAAGACCAAGAGAGGCACTTTGTAATGCTACAGTGACAGATTCCCAATGATAAATGCATTAGTGTTATATCATAACTGTACATATCTATGCACCAAATGGCATAACTTAAACACACATACAGGAAAAAACTATAGGAGCTACAAAAAGAAACAAACATTCTTAAAAAGGGACTTTAATTCATCTCCTTCAGCTCATGACAAATTCGGACAAACGAATCCCCCTGGCCAGACAGGCAAGCTTAGAAAGTTAAAGCAGCAGAAAACTAGCAACTGTGCATCCTTTTCAGTCTTTGTCTTTCAATGACTTCCCTAGCAGGAGATGCAAATAGATCTCCCTGATATTTTCATTTCTAATTAATGATAAACAAGGGTTCTCTAGCCATACTTTACCAGCCGGATAAATAAACTGGCTTGGTTACTTTTGCTGCCCTAATATCTTCTTCTACCACATATGAAATGTTTAACATACTTCACATTTTCTTAAGCCTTGGAATAGGACCTCTTGGGAAGGGCTCTTCAAGAAGAGGGGTATTCCAGGGTTCCAGCTCTAACTGTCCTTTACTACTTGTGACAGCAGGGAGGTCCTCTCTTCTCTCTCTGACCTCAGTTGCCACCATTTATTTGTCCAGAGACGGGGCGGGGGGGCGGCTAAAAGATCACTGAAACCGCTTCCAAATAAGAGTATTTGGGTTGAACTAAGAAATGTAAGATGACCCCACTTAAACAGTGAGCTGACCCAGGATTCCTCATTCATCTGAGGTAAATTTCACTATGGAGAGCATTAAGTTAAACTGTTCTGAAAATATTACATAGTAAATCAATCATTTGAAATTTTCACTTGAATTACTTGAGAAATTTCTCTCAGAGTAGAGCTTCCCTCACTGAGTCTCCCCAGAATCTTGGCCAGCCCCTTCTAAATAGCAATGCATGGTAGGTCCTCAACTGCAAACAAAACATCCTTTGGAGGCACAGATACGGATGTAGGTTGCCATGGCACCAAAGGCATTGGTCTTTTTATGGGAGCTTTTTCTTTAGGATACAGTCAGAAGGGAAAAATAAATAAAAACAAGAACAAATGAAGGCAGTCAAGTCTTCCCAGTCTTGACTCACTAATGTGCACCCCAAAGCCTTACCTGATTCAGAGCTAATGCCACCGCAAAACAAGATGCTCTCCTGGAGAGGACTTCTCCTTTGATCAGGGCTTCTTCTCTTAATGTAGTACAGATTTTCAAAGATTCAGGGCTATTCTGGCAGGAGACAGAATTGCTCAGTAAATAAATGTCATGCACCTTGAAGTTTAATAAAATGATTAATAGTGTTCAGTATTTCAGATTTCCTTTTGTAAGAATTTCCCAGAGCCTATCTCAAGCCACTTAAGAGATTAAGCCCCATATAGACACTACTTGCAAACAGACCTAATTATCTACACATTAGCAGTTCAAATGTCAATGTACATTAACTTCATTTGTAAAGCCCTTTGTCAATTTTCTGAATTGGGGCTTTTTGACCACCAAGTGTACAGGTCTCTTTGTATCTGGGCAGACTGGTTTCTAGACATAAGTACCATAATGTAAAGGTGTAAAATCTCAGTTTGTTACTATATTAAATAATAGTGTAAAGCTTAGCAACACTAAAAAGTTTCCCTGAGGGAATTTTCAATCTGAAAATATCCATGTAAGTAAAATACTTGAAAACGTGAACACTTATATGAATGTAAGCCATGAAAGAATCCCATGAAAATAGAAACCTTAAAAACAAATCCACGAACATGAACAACACACAAACCAGCAGACAGCAATGGTAAAACCGAATCTTCTTCCTTTGTACATGCTATAGGTGGATTAGGTTTATGAAAACAGCATTAGCTTTGCATCTATGTCTATCTGTCATGACACAATTCACAACTCAAAACCTAAAGTAAAAACTGAATTTGATGAGCAAAGGCAGTTCCCAGAATTGATCTGTAATTTGTAATGGCTGACTATTTCAATTTTTCAACTCTCATCTCCACTGAGTAAAACAAGTTATTTTAGATACAACATAGGGGAGAAATGTCATCTGGCCTTCCTAAATAGCATAATTAAATTCTCTCCACTTTATTATACACTCAGGGAAGCATCTCTAAAAAGGTCAGAAAGCTCAGTATTACAGTGCTGAATAAGCTGACACTTAAGTGTTGTGTGTTTGGTTGGCCTTCTGTTTCACAGAAAAAGAAAATGGTACAACTGGGAAGGATGACATAGGGGTGCCTGGGTGGCGCAGTCAGTTAAGTGTCTGACTTTTGGTTTCAGCTCAGGTCATGATCTCAGGGTTGTGAGATCAAGCCTTGTGTCCAACTCTGCACTCAGAGCAGAGTCTGCTTGTCCCTCTCCCTCCCCTTCTGCCTCCCCACCCCAGCCCCCACTCACACACACACACTCTCTCTCTCAAATAAATAAATAAAATCTTTAAAAAATAAAGAAAGGATTACCTAATAATCTAGCGATGAGCCAACTAAGACCCTCAGGGGCCAAGTCTAGCCTATGGCTAAAAATGGTTTTCATACTTTTAAAGGTTTGTAAAAACAAAAACAAATTACAATGTGCAACAGAGACCATATGTGGTAGAGACCATACATGACCTCTAAAGCCTAAAGCATTTACTATCTGGCCTTTTATAATAAAAGCTTGGGGCTCTTGAATTCAACCCTTTCATTTTACAAATAAATTAAGTGACCACTTCAAAGCCAGTTAATGCTAAAGTTGAGACTAGACTTCAAGTTTCTCAATTTCCAGGATGGTTTTCTTTCCACTATAACCCTACTGCCTCTCTTGTTTTGGAAAATTGGTATTGTTACAATTTTCAGGGAAGTGTTTTAATGGCCCATGTTCTTCCACCTTGCCTGGTGTTCCTTCATTTTTGCCATAATAAGGTTTTGTTAAGTTTCCAAAGTTTAAATGACATGAATGTCTACAGTAATGCATAGAACTTTGGTCACTGTGCTCCATCAGTCATCCTTTATTCACTGATTCATTCAATCAATGAGGGAGAAATAGTTTCTAAGTATAAAAAACAATCCTGATACAATAATGACATATGGACTTATAAGTCATGTTTTCTGTCATCAAAGAGTTCATTTTAATGTCACATACATTTACTAAAGATCAATTGTATACCAGCGTGCTGTTAGGTGCTGGCATACAAAAATGCCACAAGCTTAACCTCTAGTGGGAAGGATGAAACATCCATTTACTTAGAATAACGTCAGGCAGTGGTAAGTGTCACATAGGTGATACAAATAGAGCACAATTAGAGAATGTTGGGCAATAGACATTACTTCTAACTTTGAACCACCGAAAAGTTTACAGATAATAATAAAGTAGCCCCTGAGTTCACCAATGAAGGATGGTCAGATTTCCACGGGAGAGAACTACAGAGAAGACTTGCCTAGTGGAGTCTAGCTTGAGCCAGATAATAAGAGGACTGACTGACTCTACAGCAGAGCTTGAACCCAGCATACCGTTTCTTGTTCTCCCTATCTACACAATTGCCAGAGAAGGGTGAAAGATGATAAAATTGCTTTTCCCATGATAAAACTGTGTGATGTGGCTAACTTGAGTTTTCTAAAAAAGAACACATTTAAAATGGAAATATCTGTACCAGATGGAAAAAAAAGACTTCAGAGGAACTAAATTTTTCTTTGTAGAGAAAAAAAAAAATAAATTCTCTCTCAAACACTACCCACAGTGCTCTAAAAGTTAAGGGAAGACATTCTTACCAGTTTGTAGCAAATCGCAAAAGCAAGGACATAGGTATCTTTGTTGAACTTCACATCTTGGCTTTTCATCTCTATCAGTACTTCCAATGCACCTACCAAAAGTGACAAGTGGGTGGGCAGTGTTAAATGCATCCAAATGAGTTCAGAGTCCTTGGCTATTTATCCCCAGAGTTCTAATCTGTTCAGTACCATCTACTGAAAAGTGTATTCCAGAAGCACAATAAAAGCTATCTGTCAAAGTCATTTAGCAATTAACTAAATTTAAAAAAAAAATTAAGTCATACAGCAAGAACTAATATTTAAAAACCAATTATACTTTCAACATAAGTAAAATCTGGGTGTTTAGCTTAAGGCATGACATGAGATGCAATAAAGTTGTTTTTCAGACTTAAAAGAATGAAATCTCCATAATTCAGCCACTCATCATGAATATAAGCATCATTTTTGCATGGTCCACTGTTTTTCCTAACTGCTATACCTATACCAGCAAAGACAGAATTTTTCAGCAAACATAAATTCCAGTACTTACTTGAATACTTGCCTTTGATAAATAACATATCTATCAAAATATTGAATGATGTGGAATCTGAGAAGAAACCTCGTAAATGCTAATGAAAAAAAACAAAACAATACCAGTTTGGTTAAAAGCTGTAACTATTTAGTGAATACTTATTTTTATACTCCATCTTCTCTATCCAGGACTTATTTTTGTGTATACTTTATCCATTTGGTTCCCTGAATTCTCTAATAAATTTCTGATACACCAGGATTTATTTTTCAAAAAAATTCAAATGCTGCCCACTCTTTTGGCTGTCATGCCTTTGGCAATGGGCACACCAAACAAGAGACAAGAGGTATGGCAAGAGTTCTCTGAGTTTCAAAAATACACTGAAGAACGTGTTTATTAAACATGGCTCGCCTGACTAGGAGAAAAGAAACAAGCCAATTCACCCTGATAAGGGTGGTCCTGGAATGTGGGTGGCAGCATATTAATATGAAATGGCAGGTATAAGCATGCTTGAAGACTAAGCAAGGAGAGTCTTACACAACTATGATCCTCTTCTGGCAAATGAATAATAAAGAGTAATTCACTTTTTGAAATAATTCACTAAAAGTGGTTCCTGACATTTTTTTCTCAACATTTTTAATCTCATGATAATACAACACATGCTATTGAAATATGCCATTAAATGCCCTGCTCAAGTTTGTTCTTATTTTGAGAACCTACTATGCAGACCCGGTTCTAAGGGCTGAAAATAAATGATGAACAAGACACATAAGCCTGCCCTAACTCTAGTGGGGCTTATAGTCTAGTAGAGCTCAAATTCTCGCATGGGAGACAATGAACAAGGGAGTAAAACCTGTGAAAAAAGTAAAAACGTAATTTCAAGTATCAATAAGGGCTATGAAGAACAATGAAGCAGGAAAAAGGGACAGCGAAGATGATAGAAGGTCGTCAGAGAAGGCTTTCTGAGAAAAGAACTCAATGAAGTAAAGGAGAGCCTCAATAATGAGAATGCAGACCACTCTAGTCTGAGGACACGGGTATGGTATGTCTTAAAAAGAATAAGGCGGCCCAGAGAGGAATGAGCAAGGGGGATGGCAGGCAATGAGATACTATAAGGGGCATCTAAGTCATGATCAGGGATCTGAATTCTACTCTAAGTGAGATGGGGAGTCCCCAGAGCAGCCCTGTCCACAGTGTACGCCATCTATGTGGTTCTATATTTTCAAGTAGCTTCATTAAAAAAGGTAAAAATACATGCAGTTTTAATAATGTTACTTAACCCACTAAATTCAAAATATAATTTCAACATGCAATCAATAAAAAAATGAATAAAGTATTTTATTTCTTCTTTTGTATACTAAGCATCTGAAATGCATCACGTATTTTACCCTTATAGCACATGTGGTTTGAACTAGCCATGGTCCAGGGGCTCCGGAGACACACGCCGCTAGTGCCTACCGCACCAGCAGCACCACAGGGTTCTGGGTAGGGGACACACTAAATTAAGAGTGGAAACAGGATTAGGCTTTAGGTCACTGGACTCAAATTCAGTTTATTTTGCTACTCCAGGAAACTTGGTTGTATATGAGTATTTCAGACATGAGTCTAAGTTAAAGAAAACAAAAACAAAGTAAAGTTGCATTTTCTTTCTGTTTTTTATCATTATACTCATGGCTATCACTGTAGTAAAGTTTTCATTTTCCTTTAATTACAACATATGATTATTGAATAGTCAAACAGTACAAAAAGGTATAGAGTAAAAAGTGAGAATTTCCTGTACTTCTACCTCCTAAAGACAAGCAGTAGGGGTTTCATTAGATTCTCACAGATTTTTAATACATATATACTAAAATGTAAATATGTATATTTCTTCTTTTAGGAAAAAAACAGGTTCAAACCAATCCACACTGTTGTGAAACCACCTTTTCTCCGGTAACTAATATTTTATAGTCATTTTTCTAAACCATGGGTGTCCTTAAAAGAGGAGCAAGCCAAGAGTTAACAGCTCCACCATGCACAGGACACTTGAGATGAAGAGTACTAGACAGAAAGACAACATAGGAGGGTTCCAAAAAATACAAAAGTATCCCAGGTGGCCAGCCCTGGCTCCAAAATAAATGTTTCTGACCATGCATAAGTTTATGTCTCTAAGACCCAGTTTCATCAACTGTAAAATAGATAGATTAATAGTATCTACCTCAGCAGGGTCTGTGGGAAACAAATCAAACAGATACAGTGCTTAAGCACAGTGCTGAGGACACAGTAAATAGTCAATAAATAATTACAAAAATAATCACTGTTATCTTTGCTTTAGGAATAGAAAATCAGAAGATGTGAAAGTATTCTGAAAACAGAAAAGCACTTTACAATGTGGCCATCAACCAGAAGTAAAAAATACAACCACAAAGGAGAAGCACATGAGGTTAGGAAAGGCAATCTTAAAATGGTAGCCAGCCTTAAACTATTGCCCACTAAAAGCTTCTCAGAGAGGAGGTCAGTACCAGGTCACACCCAAAGCAATTTGTACATACAGCTCTTCTGCACCTGTCCTACACCTCTGTATTAAAAAACCTAGGCCTTTTCATAGCAAGGACTCCAAGGACACCTTAAAATGCAGGTCAACACTGATTCCTTCAGCCCAGCAGCCTTACTCTGAAAATCTAACCCAGGAATAAGTGCAGAAGAGAGATGTCTTCGTTAACATCACTAAAAACACCCCATGCTCAGCACAAGGAAATCACATTGACAGCAAAAGCAATCAGGAGACAATAACCTGGTCTTTGATGAGTTCCACTGCAGATTCCTCAAGATCCAACTCATAGCACAACCTCATGAAAAGTGGTCCAAATTTATACTCTCCGAAAGTCACATTTCTGTTCTCTGCATGGTACCTGGTAATCAAAATGATTCCATGAGCCAAACAGTGGATGCAGGGAAAAGGACAGAAAGATTGTGGCATATACTCTGCTAAACATTGGGGACACAATAAAGCATGAGGTACTCTCAGTCTGGAGGGAGAAAAGTACAGAAATGAAGATAATCAGAGGAATTCTGGAGTGCAGAAGTATACCAGGCATTTAAATAAAAGTGTCAGATGCCCACATAATCATGTGAAATAAAAGAATGGAAAAATGTACATTGTAATCATCTTCTCAATTTATTAACAACCCGCTAGGACTTAGGGTTAGCATATGTCAGCGAGTAACAGGGACCTTGCATCAGCAAGCCCATGACAACGGCACTGTCTCTGTGTAGACCTCATCTACAGAGGAACAAATGGAAGCAGTGAAGTGATGCTATGCTCTGTCCCTCTCAAATCTGACTTCTCCATATAGGATGGCAGACAACCCCTACAGATGTACTTTACAATTTAGACCCATCTCTGTTTTTCTCTGCTCAGGCAAAGGCATATGTGAACTACCATCAATTATCAATTGAACAAATTAAACACGATTCTGAAGTTTAGTTTTACGAAAAGGCTAATTTCAAAGACAGTGACATCTTAGATGTGGCTTGAGATTTCTACAAGCAGTCAGCCACCAGTGAGAACTGTAGAACTGAAAATTGCTAGCATAAATTTACTTTCAATAACCAACTCTTTCTGTTTTAGACACCAAGAAGACAATCTGGTGACAAAATAAGTACCTCATGATTACATGTAAACCAGATTTTAGTAAGACTCATTATGTGAATAAATCACACATACCATGGGGAGAAGCTGACTTTAAAGACAGAATACTTTTTACCCTGCAGAAATCACAGAAGAAAGTCAGAGTAACATTATGGATAGTTTATCTAAACATACATACTGCCAAACAGAAGGACGATATGTACTTTTATTTATTTATTTTTTAATTTTATTTACTTATTTGAGAGAGCAAGCAAGTGAGCACAAGCGAGAGAGAGCACAAGCAGGGGGAGGCGGGGGGGGCGGGCAGAGGGAGAGGGAGAAGCAGACACCCCGCTGAGCAGGGAGCCCAACAAGGGGCTCCATTCCAGGACCCAAGGATCGTGACCTGAGCCGAAGGCAGATGCTTAATTGACTGAGCCACCCAGGCGCCCTGAGAACATGTACTTTTAAAGATGCATTTCATAATCGAATTATAGAAGTAACAAAATATATTCATTGCTTCATTACAAGTTATGAATTCAATTATGTCAAAGCTTCAGTTGTATACCTTAAATACACATGACTTTTAGTTGTCAATTATACCTCAATAATACTGGAGGGAAAAAAGAATTAAGTTATTAAAAGCAGCATAGCATAGTGATTAAGGATTTTTAGACTCTGATTCCAAATTGACAGTTCAAATCCCAGCTTTTTTACTAACTGTATAATGATGAGCAAATTAATTAGCCACTCTATGCCTCAATTTCTTCATCTATAAATGAAGATAAAAGTCCAACTCAAAGGGTTTTTGTGAGGATTAAATGAGATGACATGCCTAGCACACAGAAAACCTTCCATGTATGTTAGCTTTTAAGAAATGTAAAGTATGCTGTGGAAAAAAACTTTAAAAATCAAAATATCCCAAAAATAGCATTATGAAAAATTTGTGCCAGATTAAAAACAATGCAAAAACAAAAGTTTTCCCTATTTAGAGGATATTTACACTAATAAAAACGCTAGAAATTCACAGAGATAATATATTACCTCTTCTTGACAAGAAATGTTCAAATCAGAGAATCTAAAAATCTCCCTATAAACCACATAACAGCAGGTGGTCAAGATTATGGAGGGATTAAGTTCCTCCTCATTTTTGACTCAATAAAGAGCTTACGTTCTGGCTCATTACTGTTCTTCCCCAGCAGTGGGGTGCCTGTCTCAGCAAGAGAGAGAACAGGATGGTTAGGCCATGGACCTGCCCATCTTCCCACTTTTTCTCCACAAGTAAAGGGAAGAGACAGCAATTCAGCGGGAGTTACCAGCATCGAATTAGCTTTGGGTAGTAAAAATAGATTGACAGTAAAACAGGCCAGAGGGTCTCAATGATTCAACTTTGTGAAACAGAAAACAGAAACAGAATTAGGATGCTAATACTGTGTGACTGTAAATTAGCATAACCCTCCTAGAAAATAATCTGACACTTTGTATCGAGAAGTTTTCAAAGATTCCTATCTTCTGATCACCACCAAAACATAAAGAGTAAATTTTATGCATAGAGTTGCTCATATGGCATTATTTATACTGATGAAAAATCAAATAATGCAGACATTCAACAATAGTGGCACAATTAATTAGAAAACCTGACATACAATGGAATATTGTAAAGCCATTAAAATATAATTCCTAAGTATATCATATTTTTAAAAGATTTTATTTATTCATTTGACAGAGAGAGAGCACAGGCAGGGGGAGCAGCAGGCAGAAGGAGAGGGAGAAGCAGGCTCCCCACTGAGCAGGGAGCCTGACATGGGGCTAGATCCGAGGATCCTGGGATCATGACTCAAGCCAAAGGCAGACACTTAAATGGCTGAGCCACCCAGGCGCCCCAACTCCTAAGTATATCATTAACAAGCAAAAACATATATGCTAGAATACTAACTAGAAAACACTATCATTATATATACAACAGTTAGAAATGTGTAAATAAACCCCACCAAAACCACACAACCTTTGCACACAAAAAATCAGTGAGAAAATGTATAAGAATATCAACAGTGGTTGATCCATTCAGAGGTGGAACTCTTGCTTCTCCCCCTGCATGTGGGTTGGCCAGGTGAATTGCCTTGACCAAGAGAATGTGACAGAAGTGAAGCTGTGCCAGCTCTGGGCTGCTTTACAAGGCCTGCAGCTTCTACTTGTGCTGGGTGCTAGTGCAGCCTGGGCTAGACTCATGAATGGTGAGACATTCCAAGGGGAAAGAAGGGCCACATGGACTCAGGCACCAGAAATGTAAGTGAAGCTTCTTGGACCTTCCAGCTCAGCCTAGCCAGCAGCTGACTATGGATGAGCAAGTGACTAGCTGACACAAAGAGCTGCCCCACTAACCGGCTTCAATTCCTGACCCACAGTAATAATAGAGAATAGACAGTAATAAATAATAGAGAAGTAATAAATAATTGTCTTGTTAAGCCATTAAGTTCTGGTGTGTAACAGCTAACCTTAGGGGCTTTGGGTGGCTCAGTTGGTTAAACGACTGCCTTTGGTTCAGGTCATGATCCTAGGGTCCTGGGATCGAGCCCCACATCAGGCTCCCTGCTCAACGGGGAGCCTGCTTCTCCCTCTCCTTCTCCTTCTGCCTGCTACTCTGCCTGCTTGTGCTCTCTCTGTCAAATTAAAAAAAAATTAAAAGTTCTGGTATGCATTGAGACAAATGAAATATCAGAATTTATGACATATTTCTTCTACTTTTTTGGTGTTTTTCCAACTTTCAATGAATTTAGTGTAATTTTGTGTTTTTTTCCTTTTTAAAAATAACACAAATTTTTTCACATTATAAAATTGATAATGCCCACTGTAGATAAGTTTGAGAAATCAAAAAAGTACATATTTAGAGAAAAAAAAATGTGTAATTCCCAGAGAACCACAGTTAACTTTTGGTACATATCCTTCCAGTATTCTATATACGAACACCCTGTAGTTCTCTCTATAAATGTACAATATAAATGCAGGTCCATGTATAGAAATATATTTTTCAAGAATGGTTAAAAAAAGGGGGGGTGGGGAGATGGGGTGGCTGGATGATGGACAGTGGGGAGGGTATGTGTTGTGGTGAGCGCTGGGTGTTATGTAAGACTGATGAATCACAGACCTGTACTCATGAAACAAATAATACATTATATGTTAATTAAAAAATAAAAAGGCCATGAACTTAATTTCAGAAATGAAGCCTGTTGATTTCACGTCATACACTTCCTGAGTAAGCGAAACCTTTGCTGGGTTTCCCAACAGCAGGCTATGATTACCCGTGAGTTCCCCTGACATGAGAAACTGACAAGGGATCAGAGACAATGGAACATAATAGGCATACGCCAGGAGGAGGGAGCCGAGCCAGGAGTCCACTGAAGTGATCCAAGTGAGATACGATGAGGCCTGAACTAAGACACTGTTAATGAGGGCAGAGAGAGGAAGGCTAGAGATGAGAGATACCAGGGAAGTGGAAGCAGTGCGATTTCTTATCCTGTCAGGGAGGAGAGCAAATGAGATTAGGGGAAAGAGGCTCCCTGGTATCTGTCCTGAGTGGTCAGTGCAACAGAAAACACAGCAAAAAGAAGCAATCTGAATGTGAAGACCTAGGGGACATAGGAGAAGAGTTCATCAGGCTGGTGATTTCTTGAGGCATGAATTCTGGTTTTCCATCCTCAGTATCTGGCATATAGAAGGAATCCAGTAAGTGTTTGATAAATGAATATAAATGTCTGGAGCTCAGTGCAGGCATGTGGACAAGAGATTTAAAAGTCATCAATGCACAGGTGACAGCTGAAACCTTGTTAAGTGGATGAGATTGTTCAGGGAAAAGAACAGAGTGAGAAGAAACCAAAGCTGGCAGAATTCTAGGGAAATGCCTCACCTGTAAATGACATTTTTAACCAGTTCCATATCGTCCCGGGAATCGCTCAAATGAAGCAAGGTTTTCAACTCCTCCTTCAGGATGAGCTTGTTCTGAGTCAATTTCTCTTCCATGTTTCTCAGATAGGTTGCTGGAAGAAAGCATGGTATAATGGGCATCACTCAGGCTGATTGGGACTATCAGGAATCTGACCTCAAGAAGAAGGGGACGCTGGATCCTGGCACATTGCAAAGGGGCATTGAGAGGGGCTCATGACCATGTAGCTCCCATCACTGGCTAGTCTCCTCAAGAACAGTGTCACAGAAGGTCTACGAAGCAAACTAGCTATGCTACAGGCCAGAGGCCCACTCAAAACTTTCTAACATACAATCTGTGGGGGTAGGAACACAAGAATATGCAATTTGGACTACCTGGGTGATCCACACATTAAAGTTTAAGAACTCATGTACCAGAGGCTTACCTCAAAGAACTGTACCTATAGGTGACCCATTAGGAAAAAAAAAAAAAGTAACCAAGACATCCAAACCATCAATTGGTAGGGTACCTAGCAGGAAAAGTGAAAGGAAAATATGCAGTGAAGGTGGGTTTGCCCCAATGGCTGACCCACACAATTCAGGAATACTTCACGTCTCTTTCATTTGGTTCAACTCTACCGCTCATTTATCTTGGTCTCCCTACTCAGTTGTTAGAAAGCATGACACAGAACTACATAATGCACAGGGGGTAAAAAAACTACCCTCTAAATAGCAGCAAACACTCTCTGTAACAGAATCATATCAAGGTGATTACGCTCTATCTGTTCCCTATCTTGTATTTGACTGACTATGGAGACAGTCAAACACCAAAAGGAAACACTGCTTCTTGGCATTAGGAAGGGACCAGATTCTCAGCAGAATGGGGGGTGAGATGCAAGGGCAGCATCAAAGAAGCATGTGAGCTGCCAATTAAAGTCTACAGGTTTTGCTCTAAGACCCAGAGCTTTGAAGGAAGGCTGCTTAAAGGAATGGTACAATACACATTAAAACACAAGATTGGGAAGCTGAGACAGACACTGTTCTCAATTTACAAGAAAAGAAGGCCCACCTGCTTTAAATTAATGCTGTGGACCCTTCAATTGTTATTTGCAGAACCATATCATGGTTGAAGGTTTTACAGATGGAAAGACCTGGGCTTTGCCACTTGTATGCTATGGGGAGATGCTTGTTTGTGAGATTTGATTCCTCACGTGTAAAGTGAGGATCATGAGAGCTACCTCCTGGGGTATCCTGAGATAATGTATGTTAAGCACTTAGCACAGGGCCTAGCACACAGTAACTGCCAGTAAATCATACACATTATTCTCATCTTCATTCTGTCACTTGTCAGATTTAAGTGAATTTATTCTGTTAACTATTTTTAAATAATTTCTAATATAAAAAATTTTAATGGAATGACTTTATATCTTATACTTTTTAATAACCTTTAAGAATCCAAAACTTCAAGAGATGTAATTTGCATTTTAAAACAAATAATCAAGATTTAAGTGCTCGTAACACAGGGAAGGCTAAGCTATGGTTCATGCCCTGAAAGAACTTAGTCTATTTGAGAAAACAAGATATATTTATACAAAGCTATCTGAAAACAGTGATGGAGGGGGTGACATTTGACCAACTATATACATGACAGAAAAAAGATATCAGGGTGGCAGAAGCAGACCAGGTATGGTTGAAGTGGAGAAGTACCAGAGAGAAAGGAAGGGGCTGGAGAAGGAAAGGGTTGGGAGAAACTCAGGAGAGGGGAGCATTCCTGGTATGAGAATCAGCATGAATAATATCACAGGATGGGGCGGGCGAGGGAGTGCTGAGGGGAGAACTGTGACTAGATTAACAGGAAATCATACTGAACTCCAGAAAGGGTAAGGTCCCACTATGGAGGAGCTAGGAAGTCAGGGAGGTGTGCACAATGTGGTATATGACAGAGGACCATTGTGGGTTTTTATAATGAAGAAATGTGGATGGGATTTTATAAATATCAATCGGACCATGGAGTAAACTGGCACTTATTATATTAATTGCCTTTCAGAACATATGCACAACTGTCACAGCCTTAGAATGACTATGACAATTGGATCTAACTAGACAATGACACGAACCCTAATTCTGCCAATTTTACAAAGCTCCAAAAGGTAAACGGGTAAAAAGAAGACTGAGGTAAAATCCAGACTGAATCTCCCATACTGAAGATGAACATATTCTCCCTCTCCCTTTTAAAGTTTATGTTCTCATTCCACAGGTGGTATAATGTAATAATATGATTAGTGGAGAGGTGAGGAAAGAGTGATTTCTGGAGGGCCAGAAGCAATAAGTGTTTTTTAGGTGCTCAGAAACATTTGGCGGTGAGAGTAAGGAGATTTGAAAAAGTCAGTAGGGACAAACTAAACTGTTACTGAAAGAGAGGAGTCTTGTTATGTTTATAAAGGAATTTAAAGTACTGGAAAAAATGTGCAGGAGAGAGGGAATGAATTCAACAAGATTTCTCAGATGCTGAAAGGAGTAAGACCTAGGGTGGTGGTGTGTTTTCAGCTTTTTGTAATAAAAATATTCAAACATAGCCCAAAACAGAGAGAGAACATTATGCTCTCATGTGTCCATCACCCAGGCTCAACAATGACTAATATTTTGATAATTAAAAAAAAAAAATCTTTGTTTTAGCCTATTGATTTTTTCAGCCGAGGAGAAAAATATGAAAATGCATCACAGGGGGCACCTGGGTGGCTCAGTTGAGCTTCCGACTCTCGATTTCAGCTAAGGTCATGATCTCAGGGTCACTGGATCAAGTGAGCCCCTAGGCAGGCTCCATGCTCAGCAGGGAGTTCACTTGAGATTCTCTCCTCTCCTTCTGTCCCTCCTTCCCTTCCCCCCACCCTCACTCTCTCTCAAATATTAAAAAAAAAAAAAAGAAAGAAAGAAAGAGAAGAAAAGAAAATGCATCACACATGGGATGGTTTTGTTTCACTATATTTCACTTGGGTATATATATGTATGCGTATACTGGAGATACTATGTAAAATATACTTTTTACTCAGAGGTGCATCAAAAATGTGAAAGCCAATCATCTCGAGCAGTTCTTCTCAGACTTTACTGTGCATATTAACCGTCTGGGGCTTCAAGTTTGGTATTTCTATGAAATTCCCAGCTGCTGCTGACCCATGATACTTAGTCTGGGTGGCATGGATCTAGAGAGGACTGGTTCCAACACTAATTTTAGCATTTCTCTGGGATCCTGGGAAATGTGACAAGAGAGTGGTAGACTCTGTAGTAGTAGAAAGTGAGATGAAAAGTACATTTAAGGGTAGTCTAGGAAATTAAGAATAATCCATGTCAATTTTTTCTCAGACAGGGATAAAGAGAGAAAAAACTTGAATGACACATCAATGAAAGAATTAACAAAACAGATTCAATTACCTTTGGTGCCAGGAAGATGATACGCAATAGCCACCTTCTTATGCTGAAATTCTTTTAATTTCACAATATTATCTGTAAGTAGGTATCTTTTAGCTAAAAATCAAAGAAAAAAGTAAAATCATTTTCACTATCTTATACTTAGCAAAAACATGAGTAGAACTTGATTGCCTCTTTCTAATAACTGATCTTCATTTAACATAAATAATCCATCTGGACAGCTACAAATAAGTCACCCTGGTGGAAAAGTAAACATCTCTAAACTATCGGAAAATTCAAATTCTCAGCAAGTTTTGTTTTTGTGTGTGAAAGGAGCTAGTGATTAACTGTATGGAGACGGGTTGAGAGGAATCTGGGAAGTGAAAAGACAAATATACATTCCCCATCTAGTTATGGGATTACAAGGGAATAAAAAAACAAAAAACAAAACTAAAGGTTACTGTTTAAACGTCAAACTGGTAGATCTAGTTTCGGTTTATCTAGGTGGAAGCACATAGGGTAGTGCAAACAGCTAGAGTGTGACCATTGGAATTCCCGGTTCTACCATTTGTGAAATCAGGAGTTAAAAAAAGGCCTCTCAGAATTGGGTTGTCGGTATCCTCATGATGTATCAGAAATCACTAACCACAGCTTAGTAGAAAAGATAAGTTTGGGAAACATTTCTTTTGGATGCTTGGCTGTGCACGGAGTGGAGCCTGGTCAAAGAATCATTCACTGAAGACCTCTTCTGTAGGGCAATAACAGGTTACCAACAAAAAGTATTGTCTATTTATGAGGAGAGAGTCCAGAGATACGGTTACAGCAGGATTGTACTGTTGTGCTGCCTGAGGACAAATCCCTCCTCTACCACTTTCCTCTCACCTTGGGCTAATTACTCGGTCTAGCTGTTTCCACCCCTGTAAATAGAGAAAAGAATGGGAACCTCTCTCACTGGGGGTTGTGAAGAGAAAAGGAATTAATATACGTAAAATGCATAGAGTAATACCTGACACCAAGTGTTAAGTATTTTATTATCACTCACCAGTATATTCAAATTTAATCATTTCCATAAAGTTATTAAGGGACAATTTTACAAACGAAGAAACCTGCACAAGGTCTTTCAGACTATTAGCGGCAGAGCTGGAGCGCCAAAGAGTCTAAGACCTCTGCTACCAAATTGTGCAGAACAGTACACCCAAGGGGGAGAGATTTCCAGACAACAGCGTCGCCTCCTCTGAGGGACTACTACAGCCCCAAGGTCGAGACCCCAGCCCGGCTGTCCTTTCGTTCCCAGGCACACGGGTGTCCATGACACCCAGAGCCAGTGCTGCACACGCACGCAACCAGAGCACGAAAGAGCAAGCTCGAACGCTCCAGGCCAGTGAGTGACTGAGGCGCTGTTATTTCCCAAGTGATGCCTGCTGAGGTGTTAAACTCCCTTCTTTCCCATTCCTCCCCTCCTTCACGACCAGAGGCCGCGGATACCTCCGAGAGGGCAGCGGCAGCACGTGGAGCCTGAGCCTCCCACCCGGGGATATACCGAACTCCGCAGCGCCTGCAGCACGTCGTGTTTCGGCAGCCGAATCGTGGCAGCCATGCTGTCCCGGGCCACACCAACTACGGGAGCCGGGGAGGGGGGCGGAGCGGCGGCCTATGACCCCACCCCTTCCTCTGCCCGCAATCCCCGGACGTTCATCCTCTTGGTATGCTCCAAGATGGCAGCTCTCATACTGAGCCGCTGCTTCCTTCTGGCGCGGAAAGTGCCTCTGCCTCCGCGCTCGCTGGCAGGTTGGTGGCTGTTCTGCTTTTGTGGGGCTACTTCTTTAGTCACCTGATAACTCTTCCTTAAGTGAAGGGAACTGTGGGCTTTCAACAGGACAAGAAATGCTTCTGGGATCTAGTTGCTAACCATTTGGAGCGTTGGGTAGTACAGAAAGGGGAAGTATGGCCTCGGACCCGTCTCCTTACCCAAAATAGTGCCTGCCTGTCCAGAGGTGTGCAGAGTAGATGAAGTTATGGCATGAGGTCTTTTGCATATGATTTGCAGGGTTTGTGTGTTAGGGTCTCTTTCCTGCCATTGAAGAGTCCAAATGTGCCCACTTCAGAGCTAGGAAGTTTTCCTCCCTGCTTAAATGTCTTTGGAGGGGCGTCCTAAACCTACTCCTCACCACCTCACAATTGGAGACCTTTGATCTCCACTTGGGATAAGAATTTCAGTGCTAATTTCTCATTATCTGATGACCTGGGGCACAACTTTTGAGTGACCTTTCTATGCCACAGTTTTCCACGTGTAGAGCCAATAGATACTTCTGAAGTATAGTTAGTTGACCCTTGAACAACTCAGGGGTTAGAGGCATGATCCCAGGCAGTTGAAAAATTGTGTTTAACTCCCCCCAAACTTAAGCATACTGTTGACCTTACCCGTAACAAACAGTCCATTAATCCTTATTTTTTATGTTTTATGTATAGTGTATTCTTCACAGTAAAGTGAGCTACGGAAAATGTTACTAAAATCTTTAGTAAAGATTTAGTAAATCTAGAGGACTATACTGTATTTATTGAAAAAAAATCTGTGTAAGGGGACCCCTGCAGTTCAAAGTGGTATTATTCAAGGGTCAACTGTACTTGGATATTTGAGTAAACGGCACCTCACTCAAAATGTTTTTGATGGGTCTGCTGATAAAGACATTAGAAAAAGTTGACATTTATACAAGCTAAATCCTGATAGGTGTATGATTATATGACTAAAATGCAGTAATCACAATTGATGTTTCCAGTGCCCGTTATCTTCTTTCCAGCATACCCTGTAGCTCCTATTAAAAACCAACACTTATACTGTTGTTCACAGTTCTTTAGGAACAGCTATTAAATATCAACTCAAAACCTCTTTGTTGGCCACCAGGTTTTCTGAAGATTAACTGGTTGACCTAGCAGGTGAAAATGTTTAGTGCCACACATTAGGTAAAGCAGTTTGTACAGTACCTGGCGTCTCAATAAGAATTAGCTGCTGTACCTATTTGCTAGCATGCTTAATTATGGCTCTTAGTAAATGCTTTTCAATTTACACAAGACCTTGAATTGTGTATCAGGGAGACTATCATGGTTGCATAGTGTTTGAGGCAATCATTCTAACAAGAGAATGGATATTAGATAAGGGTGAATTGAATTTCCAGTTAGCATTTTGTTCTCCATTGGTGAACTTGTAGTCAGATATACCTGTGTTGTTACATTGTGGTAGCTATTAGCTACATGTGGCTATTGAAATTAGTTAAAATAAGAAATTCAGGTTTTTTAGTCACACTGACCACATTTTAAGTATTCAGTAGAGACCTGTAGTTAGTGGCTACAGTTGCACAACTCAGAATTGATCATTTCCATCATTAGGTTCTATTGAATAAGCACTAGGTTAGACCACAGAAGAAAGGAGTCTGGAAATCAGGAACTGGAAGCTATAAGGCAAGTAATAGAAGTATGCTGGATAGTGCATTAAGGACCATCCCGGATTTGAGAATGCAGATAAGGTGATTGACTTTTAAGTCAGCATAACATCTTGAGCCATTACAGGATAAGAGAGGGGAAAATGTACTTGGTACAAACTAGAAAAGTGGTTTAAAGTTATGAAGAGAGTAGAGAAAGCAAATTTATTGGGACCTATTACATAGTGAACATTTGAGTAGGCACTTAACATGCCCTCATTTCAACTATGATACAAGGTAGGCAATATTTCTCTATTTTACATATGCTGAAAGCGGCTCAGAGACTATGCAACTTGCCCAGGTTTCATACCATTTATTAGCCAGGCAAGGATTCCAGCTGCAGACTTTGTGACTCTAGAGCATATCTGTGTCGACAATCAGTGCTTTTCTTTGGATGGAAAACATGTTTGGAGACATTGGTCTGAAGGCCAAAATAACTATAAAATGAGTAAGTATGTAGAGCCAATCACTTTTCACTAAACTTTGAAATTCTGGTCTTCGGAGGTAGCTTTTCTGGAATTAAATAGAGAAAATATTTTTTATGGTGGAGAGTTTTATCTTAGAGAATATGGTTGCCCCCAAAGCTAACTGGCTGAAGGATAGCCAAGTTCAAGAAAGGTTTATGTGTACTGTTGGGTGGCATTTGCGGAGTGGGATTATTCAGACTCAGACCTGAAACTGGGAGGCTGTTATTGTTTTATCCACTTACTACATCAGTGTGGTCTGAGGAGTAACATCGTATCACGTGGAAAATTGTTAGAAATACAGAGTCTCTGTCCCCACTGAAGACCTACTGAATCAGAACCTTCACTTTATCAAGGTTCACATACACATTAAAGTTTAAGAAACTGTTTTTGATTTTCCACTTTACCATTGTTCACCCAATTTAACATTCTGTCTGACTTCATAGGAAATCTTTGATTCTAATGTTAATATACAGACCTTCCAACTACTATACAGAAATGCAAAGATTTTTTTAAATGATGTCATTTGTAAAGTATCAAAAAGATAAACATCTTGCTTTAAAAGGCTTACAGAAATGGAATGTTTGTCTTTCTTAAGGTGTAGTAATTTCCTATTGCTGTTGTAACAAATTACTACAAATTAGGTGGTTTAAAACAATACAGGGCGCCTGGGTGGCTCAGTTGGTTAAGCGACTGCTTTCGGCTCAGGTCATGATCCTGGAGTCCCTGGATCGAGTCCCGCATCGGGCTCCCTGCTCGGCAGAGAGCCTGCTTCTCCCTCTGACCCTCCCCCCTCTCATGTGCTCTCTCTCTCTCATTCTCTCTGTCTCAAATAAATAAATAAAATCTTTAAAAAAAAAAATGTTCAGATCCTTTGCCCATTTTTCAGTGGGTTGTCTTTTTAAATTTTGAGTTGTAAGTGCCATTTACATATTCTGGATAGAAGTCCCTTATCAGGTAAGTAACTTGCAAATATTTTCTCCATTCTGTGAGTTGGCATTTCACTTTCTTAACGGTGTCCTTTAAAACACAAAAGGTTCTAGTTTTGGTTAAGTTGCTGCTCATTCATTCCTTGAGCTTATGTTTATTGAGTATTGCCATATACCAGTCATTGTGCCAGGTTCTGGGAATACAGTTATACCATCTAGTGAGTTACCTCAACTCTGGCTTGTTAGGTTTCTCTTATTTACCAGTAGGGTGCTTGGTTACTGGGTAAGATACTCTTTGCTTTATGTGAAGTGAGGGTAAATATGCTGATCCAGGTCAGATGGAAATGTTTTTAGGGCTAATGATTATAAAGCATTCGATTAATGAGTTAATCAACAGTTCAGCAAGTATTTGGGTTATAAGAAGGAGTTCTAGGGCTCACTTAGGCTATAATGTAGGGGCAACAAATGGCTTCTAGTACTAAAGTTATAGGAACAAAATTACCAGCATTCTTACCTGTAACATTATTGTAGAATTTTTCAGTTTTTCTGTATCTTCTACTTGTTAGAGATGGAATGCATGTTGTCATGAACTGAATTATGAACTCTGCGATATTGGTTATAGTATCATACTAGAATCTTTACATAACCTAGTACATTGAAAATATGACAAAGCTATGTTTAATAAGACATACAAACAACCCGTTGTGAAAGCCACACCTGTTAATAATTGACTTTTTTCCTCAGGTGAAAGAGAACTGCTTTCTGCAGCATATGTGGACAGCCATAAATGGGAAGCAAGAGAAAAAGAACATTGTCACCTCGGTAGGTACCTGTTGAGCTGTTAGATATGTCATGTCATTCATTCTATATGTTTACCATCATGTTCGTATGATGTATTTATGAAATGATGCTTTTATGATGGTCCCATTCAGATAAGCACATTTTAAGTCTTACAAAGAATTAGATTATTATTTTACTTGTGGCAAAATCATTTTTTCTATCCTGCAAATTTCTACTTAATTTTTGCCTGATTAGTCTCCCTAAATTATGTAAACAATTCTCTTCTTTCTTGTTTTTTGTCCATTTTAGTCATATAGTTAGTTACCATGCAGGTTGTCTCTTTTATATTAGCTGCAGAGAAAAATATATTTTATATTTTCATGCTTTTTTATTGTAATTTCTTAACTTATGGTCTTTAGAGCTCTTTCTGACTCTTTTTTTATTACCAGGTAATAGATTTGAAAGCAGTGTTATAATTTCATACAAACCATTTAGGAAAAATAGTTGGCTAACATCTTCTCAGGCAGTAGGCTCCTAATTATACTTCCCTTTCCTTGTTCTCTAGGTCATATTACACAGGTAGCAGCCTTTTCTAAAATAACAAGGCCTAGGGGCGCCTGGGTGGCTCAGTCAGTTAAGTGTTGACTCTAACTCTTGGTTTCAGTTGAGGTCATGATCTCAGGGTTGTGAGATCAAGCCCCACGTCTGGCTCTGCGCTCAGCATGGAGTCTGCTTTAGATTCTCTTTCCCTTTCCCTCCCCCTCTGCCGCTGTCCCCACTTGTGTTCTTGCTCTGTCTCTAAATAAATGAAATCTCTAAAAGAAGTCACTGACCCTATGAGCATTTTGTAGAAATATAAATACTTCATATATGTAATATACATTATATGTAACATCATGAGGACATTGATAAAGTCAGATGATTGGTGATAGTTTCATGGGACTGATGTAGTTTTTTGAT